TGCAGTATCCGCTCTCACAGTGCAGTATCCGCTCTCACGCTGCAGTATCCGCTCTCGCGCTGCAGTATCCATTCTTGCGCTGCAGTATCTGCTCTCGCGCTGCAGTATCCGCTCTCACAGTGCAGTATCCGCTCTCACAGTGCAGTATCCGCTCTCACGCTGCAGTATCCGCTCTCGCGCTGCAGTATCTGCTCTCGCACTGCAGTATCCGCTCTCACAGTGCAGTATCCTCTCTCATGCTGCAGTAGCCGCTCTCACGCTGCAGTAGCCGCTCTCCACTCTCACAGTGTAATGCCTGTGTGCCCTCTCTCTGATGACAATATAGCACATGGATTTTTGGAGCAGGGAGATGGAATAGGAGCTTTCTCTGTTCACTCCACACCCCAACCTGGTAGTGCAGTACCTCCAAAAACAGTGCACCCCTCTGGGGGGATAAATAGTACAGAAGTGAACAAAAATGTCTTCTTTATGATACAGCATGTGCACACTTGTGAGAGGGAGAGATGAGCAGATGAGGTCCCTCCACAGGGTCTGATTATGCTGTCCTCTTCTCCCACCAGTCCGCCAACCCGCTGGATCTTGGACACTTGTGCACATGCCCTGGGCATTTCAGCTGACTGGCGAGGGATTCAAAGCATAGTTGCCATGTGGAATCTGGTTTCTCTTGGCCAGCACATTACAGCTTGACATGGAACCAGCTCCTTCCTGCTCAAGCTTTTGTGTGCATGTATATTTTCTTTTCTCTTGGGTCTGTACCTGGAAGTAGAATTGGTGAGTCATGTGGTAACTTCATGTTTAGCCTTTGAAGAACTGCCAGACTTTGCAAAGCTGCTGCACCATCTCTTCCCTTGCTTAGAAGAACACCTGTCATTGCATTCCGGGCCAACCCCGTTAATCCAGGATGATCTCATCTCAGGGTCTTTAATCATCTTTGGAAAGACTCTCCAAGTAAGATCATGTTCCCAGGTTCCAGGTGGACATATCTTTTAGGTCATTCAAAAAAACAGCAATAATCAAAAATAAATAATACAGTTTAAAATGGGCCAGCAGGCCACCTCTATGGCTCAGTGAATAAGGCAGTCAATCCCACGTGGCCAACCACACTGGGTGAGTCCTGGACCTGGTGGTAGCTTGAGAAACATACCGGGTCTGTGTGCATGTGTACCCCAAATTCTGACAGGACAGAGAAGTGGAGGAAAAGGGATTGCAGTGTGACCATTTCCCAAGAGGGGGTTCTTCCTCCTCTCCCTCTTTCTTTTTGTCTCTCTCTGTCTGGTGGGCATGTGCACCCACTGGCAAATAAATACATGCATAGATAAATGGCAGTCAATTTGAACAGACGGCTCTCCAAACAAAAGCTATAAATGGGTAAAGGCACATGGAAGAATGTCCACCACGTCTTACCATAAGGGAAATGCAGGTCAACCATGATGAGGCATCAGCCAGCCCCAGTCAGAGTGGATGGCTGTGACTGAAAACACACACACACAGAACAAAGAGCAGCGGGTGCTGGTGAGGTTGTGGGGAAAGGGGACCTTGTGCACAGCCTGTGGGTGTAAACTAGTTCAGACCCTGTGGGACATAGCATGGAGGGTCCTCAAAACCTAAAACCGAGGCCAGCGGATGGCACGGAGGTTAGGTGGCTGAATACCACATGGCTGATTGTATGGCTGGAGTCCTGGACCCGTCGGCTTGTTAACATGCCAGGCGCATGTGAATTCATGCCCCAAATCCTGAGTGGAGAATGGAGAAGGGACTGTGGTATGGCCATACCCCCTTGGGAGAGGATTTCTCATTTTTCCTCCTCTCTCTAGCTCTCAATGGTGAGTGTGCACACCCTATAGATAAATTTTTTATTAATCTAAAAAAAGAATGACCACATGATCCAGCAATCCCATTCTTGGGTCCAAATGAGAGGAAATCATTCTGTCAGACATGTGCACATCCGTGTTTACTGCATCGTTATTCATGATAGCCGGGGCAGAATCAAACTCTGCCCAATAACCAGTGAGTGGATCATGAACATGTGGCACATACACGCAGTGGAGTACCTCTCGGCCATAAGGAACAATATCCTCTCGTTTGACACAAAGTGTGTGAGTATAGAAGACATAGTTCGTTTTTTATAATTATTTCATTTTGTTATTTTAAAATTTTGATCAAAGAGAGACAGAGAAAGAAAGGGAAAGTGAGAAAGCAAGCCACCAAGTCTGAGACTCGAACTGCTGTCAGCCATGTGGGAGTCAAGCATCTTAACCGCCGTGCCACTTACTGGCCCCAGAAGACATAATTTTAAGTGAAATAAGCCAGGCTATAAAGGACAAACACCACATGTCCCTTTTTTTTTTTCTTTCTTTCTTTTTTTTTTTTTTTTTAGAGAGAGATTTTTGCTATAGGAGCATAGGCTTGCCAGAGAGACAGAGACAGAGAGACAGAAAGCGAGAAATCATCCCCCAAGGGGGTTGTCCACATTGCGGTCCCTTCTCTTCCATTCTCTTCTTGGGATCTTGGGTACACACGCACACACACCCAGCGTTGAGTTTAAGCTGCCGGGTCTGGAACTTGAACTGTGTTCAACCATATGGAAGTCCAGCAATGTAACCATCATGCCATCTGCTGGTCCTCGTATGTCCACATTTAACACGTACTAGATGTCCACGCTCTATGGCCGAAACTGAAGGATTCAACATAGAAATAGAGTAATGGTAGATACCAGAAACTGTATGTGGAGTGGGGCAAGGTTTAAGATATTGGTCTTTTAAAACTTGTTGGGGGCCAGCAGTTGGTATAATGGCTATGTTGCTGGACTCCCATGTCGTCGACCATGGTTTGAGTCCTGGACCTGGTGGCTTAAATTTACACTGGGTGTGTGTGCGTGCGTGCCCAAGATCCTGAGAGGAGAATGGAGGAGAAGGGATTGTGGCGTGGCCATCCCCCCTGGGGAGTGATTTCTCGCTTTCTGTCTGTCGGTCTTTCTGGTGAGCACACATGCCCTATAGCAAAACCTCTCCAAAAAAACCCCAAAAAACAAAAAAAAAAACCTTGTCTCTTGAGGTCAATTGGGTAAATTGTATTTTTCCGCAAAATTACCTAATGCCCCTTCCCCGACTTATTTGTAAAGAGCTGTACAGAGTAATCTCTTTTGAATTCCTTCCTTTTGGCGGTTTATTCCTCTTTGTCATTTCCAACTTTCTGTCCTTGTGCTTTCTCCCTCATTTTTCCATGATTAGGTTAGTTAGTAGAGTTTTAAAATAAAACCTTTCTCCGTTTTTATTTTTAAAAAATCTGGTTTTAGTTTTGTTAGTTCTGTTTTTCTGTTTTATGACTCACGAAATACTGCTTTTAAAAAAATTTGTCAGAGGTACATACACTCACTGCGAGACAGACAGAGCAGGGGAAGCACCTGCCATGAGGCATGGTGGTACCACAGTCCCTTCTCCTGCGTTCTTCACTGATCCTGGGCCTGGTGCCAACTGGGTGTCCAGTTGTGGGTGTCCAGCGCCCCATCCACCCGGCCACCTGCTGATCCCAGAGCCCCTGTTTTAATCACATCTGCAAAAGCTCTTGTCATATAAGGTAATATATTATACTTCCCAGTTTCTGGGAATTACAGGGTGAGCATCTTTGGGAGGGCCTTTATTATTATTGTTGTTTTATTTACTCATTTCCTCCACGAGCGTGTGTGGCAAAGTGAGAGATTGATTCGGTACCCGCAGCGGCCTGGATGCCATGACCCATGCTGGCTGGCCTCAGCGAGCCCGTGTCACGGGCGACGTGTGTGCCCGGCAGACAGAGAGGTCTCTGCGTGCAAACTGGCTCCTTCCTATGTGGTCAGCCTCACAGAGCATTGTGCCAGCACTGCATCACTGTCCAGCCTCCACACAAGCGCTCCCTTTGAAGGGCCTGCTCTCTATTTGAGTTTGCATGCGCTTTGCATATGTCTGTTTTTGCTTCGAAACGAATGATCAGACGTTCCCCTCACGTCTTGGAACAAGATTTGCAGGCCCCTGGTGAAGTTCAAAGGCAGAGGCTGCGCCTTCTGTTGCATTTGGAAGCACCTCGCTTTAGACCTGTGGCTAGAGGCACACAACCTTCTGCGATCCACGCCTTTCCACTGTTCCCACAAACAGCCACTCTGTGGCCAGATTACTTTCCTACCCTGACATTACCCAGAACCCCATGGGTACTAAACGCATGTGGTTTTGTTGCAAGGAAATTAAAGAAATGTTTTCCAGCACCGCCCCGTAGCACTATCCGTGATGATGGGATTGCTCTGTGCACGGAGATACGGCGGCACTTGCCGCACGGGCCAAGGATGACGGAGGAGGTGCCTTTCAGCCTTCATTGAATTTCAGCTCCTCTCAACAGAAATAGCAACTGTGGCTGCTGGCTCCCATGTCGGAGCACTACGGTTTACACAAATCCCATAGCCCACCCAAAGCACCTGGATGACGGGTAGCTCTTCTCAAAGGCCAGGGCCAAGGTCAGGAAAGCCATTTCTTGGCCAGGAGTGACAAAGCGGCTTACTGCCATTGCCTGCGCACGGCGGGGCCGGGGTGTGCCGGCGGCTACCTTGCCTGGCGTGCGGCTCCTTGAAGCCAGCTGTGGAGGGAGAACTTACGCCCTGGGAATCAGCAAGTACTGCGAATCCAGGCGTCCCTGCCTCATCCTTGCAGGCCTGGGTTATTTAACAAGGCCCTGAACTCACATGGGTAGGTATGCCAACTTGAGGAGACAGGCCTACTGGATCATCTTAGCACAATCAGAGCTTCCTAGTACCCAAAGAGAAAAAGGAGACACTGTCAGCTCCGCAGTTCTTATTGTCAGAGAGAAAAACAGCCATCTGGTTTCTAAGGCAAGAGAGACTTCCCTCAGCCTTTAGAGCTAGACGGGATCTTGTCCCAGGCTTCCTGGAATGGACCATGTCCTATTGCAAAGGCACAGGGCAATGTCAAAGCTGTTGTCTGCGTGTTGAGTCAAGGTTGTCCCTTTGGAGACATGCCAGGGTAGTGTAGCCTCAGCAGCTTCGGGTGTCCACTGCGATGTGTGGGCACGGTTCGGGGTGCCTGGGCAAGGCTGGATTGCATATTCTGATATTGTGTGTCATCTGCTTACTCCGCAGATCTTTTACAATGCCAGCCATGTGCAAGCGAAATGTGGGGCGGTTCATTCATTCATTCAGGTGGACGTGAGCTCAGGACACAGAGGTGAAGCGGTCCTCACCTCCAGGTTTTAAGCGCCACATTTAGAGGATAATTTACAGGTACTCAGGGCTGGAATTCGGAGGAGGTGAGGGAGGCACTCGCCTTAGGGTCCACATGTAAGGGGACACCAACGTGAATTAGTAATTAAGATAATATTTATAAAAATGAGGGCACAAATCCACAATGTCAAAATTTTAAGTTAAGACAGACTGTCTTAACCCTGCATGGTTGTGCAAGAGGGACAGTCATTCCCAGTCAGCCAGGGGTCACGTGGCCCACACCTCCCTGGAGGGTGAGCTATGTGGGTTGGCAATGGCAGGCACATGAAGTGGGCCATGTGGGCTTTATACAGTGTGCTTCGATGGTAGGGTCTTCGGCAGCCTTTTCCACTTGGTTCACAGCTGGGAGGACACGTGATAAGCCTAAAGTGGGTGCAGTTTGCCTGTGTCAGGCTCCAGTAAGGCACTGCTTCCTCCTCCATCGCTCACTTACCTCACAACTCCCGCCTATGGGGGCCATCATTACTCCCCCTCCTCCCCGTTCGATGGAAGGGAAAACTGAGGCTTGCAGAGGCGTTGTATTAGGGTGCTCTAGGGAGACAGAGCCGATGTGAAAGATATACTTAAGAAGGGATTTATTGGGGGACTCAGTCCTGGGATTGTGGCAGCTGAGAAGCCCCACAACAGGCTGTCTGCAAGCTGGAGACCCTGGGATGCTGGTAGAGGGGTTCTGTCCAAACCTGAAGGCAGGACAGACATGATGGAACTCTCAGTCCAGGGCTGAAAGCTTGAGAACCCGGGGCCACTGGTGTGAACCCTGGAGTCTGAAAGCAGACGAGCCTTGAGTTCTGATGTCCGAGGCTGCAGGACACATCTGCCTTGCTCCATTTCAGAGAGACCTGTCTTCTGGGTCCCTGTTGGCTGGATCATGAGGGTGGGTCTTCCACATCTAGTCTGCCCAGACTCCCATGTTAATCTCTTCTGAAAACACCCCAGTGGACACACCCAGTAATGCCTTTCCTAGGTGTTCCTTAGTCCAGTTGACACCCCAAACTAACCATCACAGACAGAGTATGATTAAAGATGCTAATTGCTGGTTGAAAACATTTGCAATTTTAGTTTTGGTATAACAAACACTGTACCCAGGCAACAGGGCTAGGGCAAATCTAGTTCCCTAACTCCCTCCGGGAACTTGGGAATTAATGGGAGCGAAATCAAGAGTCACTTGGCAAGTGCCTGGGAAGGGTCGCAGGGAGCTGCAGCTTACCAGAGGCAGGTGTGGAGGAGCCGGGACAGGGACATGCCTGGTGGAAGCCAGGGCAGCTGGTGTAGGACCTGGCCTGACCACGGGGTGCTCCTGCGGGGGGGCTATGGAGCGGGAAGCAGAAGACTGATGTCAGGACCGTCTCGGAGCCCATGTGCAAAATGCCAAGTTGGGGCATAGCATTACACCTCCCTGCTCTGACCGGAGGTGAGCATGCAGAGGCTCCGTACACTACATGTCTGCCGTATTAGTCTAATTGACTTGAAGAAGGTCTGCTTTAAAATATGTACTGCGGGCGCCAGCAGATGGCATAATGGTTACGTCGCTGGACTCTCCAAATGGCTGACCACAGTTCAAGTCCCGTACCCGGTGGCTTGAAAATCACGCCAGGTGTGTGTGCATGCATCCCCAAGATCTCAGGAGGGGAATGGAGGAGAAGGAATTGCAGTGTGGCTATCCCCCCCACCCCCCGTGGCTGATTTCTCACTTCCCTCTCACTGTCTCTATATATCTCTCTCTGGTGACTGTGCACACACCCTAAGGCAAAAACCTCTGAGGGGGGAAAAAAAGAAAAAAATACACTGTGTCCCAAATCTATGAAAATGTCCCACCACTGGTGTGCCCCAGACCCTGGTCCTCCCTACAGGTGTGCACTCTGCGCTGTTGCTTGTGCCTCTGCAGAGACAGGGTACACAGAGACGGGCAATTACCCTTCCCACGGGCTAGCAGCATGACACTGAAGGGATTTGGAATTACGCAGAACCGCCAGCATGTTGTACGATGGGGAGCGCTCCAAAATGGCAGGGAGATGGAACACTTGGGGCACCAAATCATGCTTTATAAGTCATTTTCAAGCAGGATTTCTCTATCTTGGCACTGCTGATATTTTGGGCTGAACCATTAGTGGTCACTGGGGTGGAGGGCTGTCCTGTGCATTGTGGGACATTCGGCAGCTGCACCTGCCCCCCTTTGTGGCAGCCAAAATTGTCCTGGGCGGGAGGGAAAACCCCCTCCCCGGTTAAGAACCGTGCTTCAAACACTTACGTGTCATTTGTGGAAAAGGAGCAGATAACCAGGAGGAAAACAATGCGAAAGATTCAAAGGGATAAAAATAGAAATCTGGAACGAAATGAGAAGGAGGCGGCATAAGGAAGGAAAGGCCAAGGGGTTATTCCCGACTCGAGGAGCCATTTCCTGAAGGATGGTAGCGGCTAACTGGCTCCACACAGCGCAGAGTAAGAAGTGGCTTCAACGGCAGAGGGGTTGAGACTGGACACCCGCGCGACTGAGCGTTCACACTGCTTCCTGCATGGCAACGATTTTTCTGAGCAGTAATGTGGGATGCCTAGGCATTGTTCTCTCTGGGCTTTGTGGTTCAGGTTCAAGAATCTTCAAGTGGAGGAGGGAGAGAAGGGAACAGGAAAAAAAAACCGTTTAATTGACACAGAAATGAAAGGTTACAAAAAAAAAGTTACTCGCTGATGATAATGTACACGGTCATGTCTTTGTCTTGACTGATACGCACGGTACTCACGCTGGGAAAAACCATGCTGTACGCTGTAAAGATGTATACTGGTTACACGTACATAATAAATCTCTACTTAAAGAATCTTCAAGTCATAAAATCTGCATTAAAAAGTAGCCCAAAATGTTTATTCCATGGTCATGTCTACTATTTTGTGTTTTTAAGGAATTAACATCTTTTTTCTTACAAAAGCGATACATGTTTTTCTTTTAAAATTGTCAGAGGGCACTCGTGTTCTCCAGAGACAGAGAGATGGAGAGAGGAGGGAGAAAGCACTTACTCTGGGGACTCGTTACCCTGTAATCCCTTCTCCACTTCTCCATCCAGCTGGGAGCTGGGGCATGCACATATATATGCCTGGCATGTTTTTCAACCTGCTGGGGCTAAGATTCAAACTGCAGTTGACCAAGGAGGAGCAGACTTTCTTAACCACTAGGCTATGAGGCCAGCTCACAATACATGTTAATTGTAGAAAAATTAGAAAATGGGGGCCAGCCCATGACATGGTGGTTCAGGTGCCTGGATTTCACACGGCCAACCATGCAGTTCAAGTCCCAGACCCGGTGTCCTGAGAAACACACAGGCGTGTGTGCACGCATGCGGCATGTATGCCTGAAGTCCTGCAAGGGAGGAGAGATGGAGGAGGGACTGCAGCTTGACCACTCCCCGCGAGTGGGATTTCTCATTTTCTCACTTTCTGGCAAGTGTACCGCCCTCTAGCAAAATTTTAAAAAATAGCTAAGTTAAAAGAATAAACATTTCAAACACAATCTCACTAACTAGTGAAATATCACATTTGATACTTCAGTGAATTTACTTGTTATTTTTCTATGTTTATGTATAAAGGTATATAAATATGCTACACTTATAGACAAAAGATGGATCACTCAGCGCTTAATGCTTTGGAGCTTGCTTTTTTTTTTAGCATTTTGTCTAATTTATTTTTATTTATTTATTTATAGTCTTCTCTCTGTTTTAAACATCTGACTGCTATACATCATTTGGCTTGTAAAGAGAATTAATCCAGCATGAAATGCATCTCACACCAGTCCAGTTGAGAATACGACACACATTATCATCAACAGGTCATAAGCCATTTCTGTGTCCCGTATGTCTTGGCTCTTTATTTTTTCTCCCTGATTTCCTTCCCTATACTCTTCTCTTCTCCCACTCTCCTTCCTGGAGCTTGCTTTTTAATTGTTTTCATTTAATCCACCACAAATAGTTTGCACCAATATGTACCTACCACCATTGTAGTTGCGATTCTTCCATTGTACAGATGTCCCATACTTGAACACATCCTCTGGTTTGGGAGATTTAAGTTGCTTCCAGTGCTTGGAGATCATGAATTATACCGCGGCACACGTTCTGGAGTCGGCCCTTTGCATAGCCTTTCCCCCTAGGGCAAATTCCTGGACAGAAGATTGCTGGAGCTATTGATACCAACGGCTGTGCCCAGGGTAACTGGTCAGCCTACGCACACTGGTTTTGGGTAGAACTGCAAAATCGCCCATGGCATATCAGTGCAGTTTACATTCTCACAGGTGGTACTGGGTTTTGTTTGCGTTTTTAAAAATTTCTGCCAAATTGACAATTTGACAGGCCAGTGGGGTGTGGGAACAAAGATCTCATCCCACTCAACGCGTGGCCAGTTTGGGGCCTTTTCTGAATTGCCTGTTTGCTGCACCGTTTTCTCACAGTTGAGCAATCACCTGGAAAAAGAGAAGGTGAAACTAACATATTTGGAGTTAAAA